GGAAGTGGGTGACAGAGGTCAAAACCGACTTGGAAGCACCGAAAATTCCATGAAGGCAACTTCCACCGAAGCGTCTGGACATGTGGTCATTCCAGCTTCCCTGCCCTAACCCTAGGCCTAACCCTAACGCTGACCCTAAACCCAAAGCAACACCACGGAAGCGTCTGGACATACAGCCATTCCAGCTTCCATACCCTGACCTTAACCTTAACCCTAACCCTAACCGTGGAAGCTAACCCGAGGCTGAATACTTCCATGCAAGCTGGCCTAAATCTGTTTTGAATAGCTTCCATTGCAACCTAAGGTTCGACTTCCATTGAAGCTGTGCCACTTCCATGGGGTTTCCATGGGACTTCCGTGGAAGTTAACTTCAATGGAATTGGCACATCCATATTTCATATCCTTTGTTCCATGGCAGAGAATATCGCTTCCATGGAAGTGCCGTTTCGCGCTTCCATGGAAGTGAACATCGCTCGCATGGAGCTGATATCAGCTTCAATGGAAGTAGATCAAACTTCATGGCTGATTTATACGTCCATGGAAGGGTCACACATTTGTCAAATGGTGTGGGAGATCACACTAACGGCAGTTTCGCCAAACTGCCCATGGGACACCCATGGGGCGCCCTTAGGCCGCCCAAGGAACTTCATGGGCAACCCATGAACTGCCGACGAAGTGCCCACCGAGCGCACTTCAACCTAGAACTTCGCCACCGGCATATCAACCTACATTGAACAAAGCCACCGGTACATCAACCTAGAACGCACCCAACCCAGCGCCAACCTAACACGTGTCGTGTGGGCTTGGGGTTAGGGTTAGCGTTAGGTATTTTAGCCATATTAATGCCCCTACTGAAGCAGATAATCTATTGTTTTAGGAGTACACTGGTTCCGGTTGAAGGACATTCATCGACGTTCCATGGGTAACCCATGGGTACCCATGGGCGGTTTAGCAATATTGTAGAAAGTGTGGGAGACCCTCTCCGAGCATCAACGGTACTACCAACACACACCCTCCGATCGTTGTCCTCAAGCCGTACCTTTTTGTTTGGAGAAACTCCTGTTGGGCGTTGCTGAGCAGTGCTGGAGTGACGCCAAGAAAGGAATTTGATTTAGATAGGGACTGTAGGTGCAACTGACACAGTGTTTTCTGTCGATCACGAATTTTACAGTAGATCGCCTCACCCGGTAGAGACGGAGAGGCGGCGGCGGCCTCGTGAGAAACCACACCACGTGCTAAGTTTCAGACAGACGGCACACACGGACCTCTGAGAATGAGAACAGACAACCGACACCGTGACACCGTGACAGTTCAAAAGAGAGCTTACCAACCATATCACAGAGAGAGGTGTTTTGTCCCGTTACGTGCAGAGAACCATACATGTCCTCACCCCGATCTCCCTTCGCGCACGTCCGAGAACGCTACTTATATACTTTCGCCCGGCCTTGGCATCGACCATAGCAGTCTGATGCCCTCACAACTTGTCATTCCCGGCTGGTTGGATCCTTTTGTCACCTTCGTACTACGGAGTACTTCAGTACAGTATCGCCTTTCCGATAGTCCTCAACCTTGCGGAACCCATGCATGCTTGTGACCGTACCCGGTGCTCCTCCAAACCGCTCACCAGTTTCTCTCGCGTGCAGTTGAAAATCAGGTGGTTCGTGACGTGTACCATCGTCTTTGAAGACAATTTCTTGCTCCTCTGATCAAGTCGTAGGGGGTACAATGCCACGCCACTGTCGCTCTGTGGGATGCACGAGACGGCGGTGCTTCCATTGCGAGGGGAGTCGAACGGGGATCTACTGTAGCCAGCATGCCGAGGAGTCCATGGTGGACGTCTCCAACAAGAGTTGCGCTTACGGAGGAGGGTGCGTCAGATACCCTAAGTACAACAGCCAGGGTGAACAGACGGGTGTTTCTGCCGGCAGCATGCCGAGGATTCAATGGTGGACGTGACCAGCAAGCGCTGCGCTTACCTTGAAGGGTGCATGAGGCAGCCGACCTTCGGTCACGAAGGCACCCGGAAAGGGATTTACTGCAAATCCCATGCTGAGGCGTCCATGGTGGACGTCGTCCACAAGCGCTGCGTCCACTCTGAAGGGTGAGCTAGCCGCCCGACTTGGGGGGACTGGGCGGACGGGAAGAGCACCGTCTGTGCCAAACACAAAGGCGGCCTCACCGGCGGGTTGCCCATTAACTTCAATCAGCGGTGTAAGGAGGCCGGTGAGGAGAGGTGCGGCCGGACTGTGAAGTGGGGGATGGGCGGCGAGCAGCCGACTCACCGCCACCACCACGGTGCAGCCAGGGCGGGAGAAGGCTTCGTCCGCATCCCGAGCGGTCGGGGGACTTCACGTTCTTCGCAACCCGCATCGGGCGCAGCCTCGGGGAGGCGCCATGCCACCGAGGGTGCAGGGAGCGGGAGCCGAAGCGGGGGTGGGGTCGAGAGCGTCCACACTCACTCCGGAACCTCCTCACCCGGTTGGGAATGTGCCAGACGATGCCGGTGGCGATCGTGATCGGGACGATATCTTCGGCGAGATGGACGGAGAGGACGATGAGGACAAGTTCGGAGGCAAAAGTGGTGCTAAAACCAAAATGCCAGATTGCAGTTTCGCTATAGTGGCATCTAGCCGTCTTCTTTTCGCCCTTTATTCGTCTCCCCTTCACGTCCATTCGACAGTTCAAGGAGGGAGGCCGGTAAGTTCAGGGGCGTCTACCACCGCCGTGACTTCGTGTTGCTCCTCTTAATCTTCTCAATACAGGCAGTGTGGGGTCTTCTGCGGTGATGGCCTCCTTGTCTTCTAAAGCCCGTAGATCGACGCTATATTGGGGGTTGATTGTGCCGAATTGTTGTATGTAGGAGAGGAATATCATGCTGCTTCTTTTGTTTGACAAGGTGATGAGGTGCACGATTGTCAAAAGTAGGGCGGTAACGTCGGTGTTAACGTTTGATATTAAGACTCTCTCCGTGGGTTACTTCCCCCTTGTCTCCGATCTTGAAATATCCTGGTGCACTGCACTTTGTCGAGCGCAGCGACACTTTTTGTCGTGCTGGGGTTATCGGCAGCAGCTGTCGCGAGGTTATATGTAGCTTGGTTTCAGTAGGGGTGATGGGTTTGGGATAGGTTACGAATGTTTCCTCTTATGTTTCACGGAATACACCGTGAACGCGGTTCGATGCTCGAAGGTCCGGGGGGCAATCTGGGCGACCGAGGATTTGGATGATCATGGACCTTGCCGTTGCGGTGTGGGTGTGAAGGCTATGTGCGTGTGGGGGGGATCTGTTCTTGTTGTAAGTACTATATGGTGTTGGGCAACCTTGTTGGCTTTCAAGGGGGTGCTTGTAATGTCGATACCGAATGTCTCAGCAGAGTTCGACAGTCTCGGAACTTGTACGTGAAAGAACTCCTGTAGATTGTGATCTGTACGGTGCCTCTCGATCGGTGCTTGTTAGGCACCGATTAGTCCTGGAAGTCTGAAAGGGAGCAGCAACACGACGCCGTCCATTCGCTTGCGAAAAGTAACACTGCACTTCGATGCCGACGGCAAGGCCAGCACGATTCGCCCACATCCTTGGGTTGACTATGTAGGGGCCTTGACTTAGGGACTTGCGAGGTGGCAGAACCAAAGACACCGCTATCTTGTTCGTGGAGAAAGTCTTTTCGTGAAGAAAGACTGACTACACTACTGTAGCATTGACGGCGCTGACCGACTGGCTGTGTGTATCTGTTTGTGTTGCGCTGCACATACGCATGGGACACACGAAGTCTGTTTCCCCCTTTTGCGATTCTCGCCTCACTTGGTTTCGCGAGATTCAGCCGTTCGCTTCACTCATTGACCGCGAAGTCGAATTTTGAGTGAAACAAAATGATCGATTTCAACATTTGTTCAGGAGTTTTGTAAGAAAATCTCCCAATCCGTTTGACTGCGTGCCGAGATTCGGCATGCGCGGCCCAAACGTCAGAAGGTTGCGAACCTACCTACATAGTCATTTGTTTTTAGTGGGTAGGGGTAAACCAGGCGACGCTCAGCCGCACCAAGAAACAACTAACTGCGTACTAAAGCCCCGTTTACGAATGCAAAAATTCGAGGGAAGACGCCAAGTGGCCGTAGATGTTCTGCCTCCGGGGGGGGCGGCACAGCGAGCTCCCTCGGATCGGTCGTCCTCTCGCACAGCGAGCCCTCCCGCCGCGCTCGGCCGAAATATCTGGTATTGACTTCGCCGAAAGCGGATATGTAAATGATCGGAAAACCCAGCTTGTTCACAACCCGAACACCATCTTTTTTTTCTATGCATATTACGATGGTGCACCCAGCATGTATAACGTGCACAGAGTGCCGAAAATCGCTGTGCCGGCCTCGTCTAGGAAGACAATAGGTTTCAGGCATCATATATACCGTTTCAGGAATTTTCATGGCCTATCCAATGGGAACGTATCCGAAAGATTGCTCAGGACAAGAGCATGCATGCGTTCAATTCATCTCACGAACCGTTTACAACGTGGACGACATCTGCGTGCTGCGGCAGGTCCACCCAATCCAATTGGGCGCCACTGTACACGGTCAGCTGCTTGAGTCCTTCGGGCCATTTGACGCCGGCAAGTAGGCGGTAGTCGAAGGGGTCATTCAGCAGAAGTCGAAGCTCTTCAAGGCTGGGCATCCAACTACCTAGACCCCGCAGATCTTGCCTGAAGTTCGAGCCTCCCAGAGTAAGCCGCCGCAATGATGCCGGCCACACCGCACTCTTGATGCGCTTGTTGAATTCCGAGTACAGCGCCGACGCATTGTGGGGCAGTCCATCGATATAAGAACCGAACGTTAGCTCCTGCAATGACGGTGGCCACGTGACGTCAACGCTCTGGTTGAAAAAAGTCCCGAACGAAAGCTGTTGCAGGGATGCCGGCCATGCCACGCCTTGTACAGGGCGGTTAAAAAACTCGTTGAACCTGAGCTGAAGCAGGGACATCGGCCATACAACCCGTGTGATTGGCTGGTTAAAAGCATGTCCGAACGTGATCTTCTGCAGCGACGCAGGCCATACTACGTCTTCTATCGGTTGGTTGAAGCCATTTCCAAACGCGATGACCCTCAGTTTACTGGGCCATCCTGCACCCTCCATGGGCTGGTTGAAGCTATCTCCAAACGTGAGATGCTCCAGGGGCGCCGGCCATGCAACCCGTGTGATCGGCTGGTCAAAGCCATGCCCGAACGTGAGCTCCCGGAGCGATGCTGGCCAGTTCACTTCTTCTACGGGCCGGTTGAAGCTATCTCCAAGTCCTATCACCTGCAGTTTTCTCGGCCATCCGGTACGCTCGACGGACTGGTTGAAGCATGCCCCAAACGTGAGCTCCTGCAGCGACGCCGGCCACGCAACGTCATCTATCGGCTGATTGAAATCGGCACCACCACCGAAATGCCTAAACACTGCCGGCCATGGTGCTCGAGGGCGTGCCTCTTCAGTCAGGTGGTTGGAGTCAAGACCGAACGTGATCTGCCGCAACTCCGGCGGCCATTCAACCCGGGTGATCGGCTTATTGAAGCGATCTCCGAACACCAGTGACTTGACTCGAGGCGACCATGCTACACGCTCGACACTGATAGTTGCGTCAGGACCGAACTCAAAGAATTTCACATCGGATAACGCGTAGATAGGTCGAGTCAACTCATCCAACGAGGAAGTGCGGTTCCACGTCACACGGCTTGCTCGAAAACGTGGAACGCGTGTCGAACCCCCGCAATCCTCCGTCGAAGAAGGTGCATCGGCAGGATCCAACAGCCGGCCCGGAGTTTCATCATCGACCCTCAAGTGCAAGGTCGCCACCTCCCGACACGCCGTACAGAACTGCCTAGATGCCAGTTGTAGCTCCTTGGTCGACGTGTACCACTGTTGGTCTTCTTCGCAGGTCAGGTTGAGGGCGACGGTGAAGGCATCCAAGGACCGGCTGAGCCCGGGGTCTGGAGGAACGATAGCACAGGGACAGACCGAAACAACCGTAAGGTCGGATGCCGATTTTCGAGGGAAATCTGAGGCCGAATATCGAGTAGATTCCAGGGAGAACAATTCCAAGAGGCCTGTTCCTGGTGTGTGTGAGGGGGTGCCGTGTGCTGCTGCCGTCCCTAACGCAGCGATCGGTACCGCGAACTTAACAATCACGCAGCTTGGGTGGGAAGCCGAGAAGCATGGCGACTTCCGCGAAAAAACAAACCGGTGCTGCGATTGCACGAACGGCGTACCACACCAGGATCGATGGTGAGATCAGCCGTCTGCAACACAGGCCACAAAACACGTGAACGAGGTTGCTGTACGGGCAGTGTTTTCCCACGATGTCCAGAGCGGCACTTTTCTCCTACGGTAGTGAGGTACGCACTTCGGCGGGGAACCGGTGTACCACGTGAGGCTGTGATACGGGCACCGTGATGTTTAAAAGTTTCTCAACATTGACATTGCTCGATGTAGTCATCGTCTCCATCACCTTTCTTCGCGTTGTCCATAACCTCAGAGTGGCCTCACCAACAGCGCCCGAGTAGAAAATGACCTGCGAACAGGATACAACGTTCTGCTGGAACATGCACGCACGAGACAAGAGAGCGACGACCGCAAACACAACAAAAGTTAGGCCGCCAGGTTACAACCCTGAGAGCCACCCGATGCAATGCAATGTGAGGTCTGGTTGCCGGGTTTCAAATGGGCAAGGCGGTAGTACAGGTTCTCTGTCTGGGAGGTGAACGTTTTTCATGCAACAGCAACCTTGTCCAATACCGAACCACATGTAGTGGCTTACGACTGGAGCTGACTACAGCAACACTCGATCTGTTCGGCCACAAACAGGGAAAGGAAGGGATCGAGAGGTATAAGGGCAAAGAGAGCAGTGCGTGTCTGGAACCCTTCAGAGCCGTTGACGTAGATTGAGCTATTTTTGAGCTGCTGGAAAGAGGCACGTGCATTTGCGTACGCGATTGGGCACGGTGTGAGCAGGGCGCTACTCCTTTCGTTATGTATGTACGGTCGCGGATGTTATCATCTCGCCTGCTTTCGTGCTTCGAGACATATTTCGCTGGAGGCAGTGAGTCGTTTCTTACGCTTCCTTCTCAGGGGCACGCAGGGGTGTCGTCGGTACAATACCACGAACACCCGGAGACCACCAGCCACCCGTGGTGCTTGTGCTTGATGGCCCTATTCCCCGGGGACGTGTTCCGCGCGAAGAAATCCTCGCAAAAAATACAACAATGGCTTTCCATTAAACAGCACGACTTTTTTTGTGTTGATTCCTGCGCAACGCACGCAAGTCCCACAGACCATGGGCAGCATGAATGCGCAAGAGCGAGTGATCAAATGCAGCGGATTAAAGCAGTAGGACCTGCAGCAACGACGTCACTAGCCTAAAAGCACACACTAATGAACGTGCGAAAAGTCACGGCGAGATAAAACAAGTACCCGGCATACGATGCAGAACTCCAGGCAAATTCTGCAGGTTGTGTACGCACAACCGGCACTCACTTCCCAAAGCCATAACATTGAAATGCAACGATGGGACCGGATGGCATTGACCATGTCCTCTTTCGTCGCCCCCGGGAGGCAAGCCATCTGTCTCCCGAAGGGGAGCCTTGGAATTTGTATGCAGGTTGCCCACCGTATACGCAACCGCACACAATATACAAGACGCCTACCCCACCTTACACCACGAAATTTAATGTACTGCGCATTCCGTATTCGTGGAGAAAGACCAAAACGGAAGCGGGAGACAACCTTACGATACCATGTATACCGGTACCCCAGATGGAAACCACACGTCTGTTGTCCTGTCACGTCACAGCCGAAATAGCATTCGAATCCATAACCACCGCTGCAAGGAAATTTACCATGCACCAGCCTACGTTGCCGTTTCCGGCGTGCTCCCGGCCAGCACCAACGGCACCCACACTGCCCACGTCTGTGTGAGAGGCGGAGAAATGGCATCGGTCGGACAGATGACAACGGGGTGCGTGCATACGACACTACCCAGCACCAGCGAGGCCCGTGTGTATTTTTCATTGGGCATCGCAGCGGTTGGAGAGATCCCGCCGGGGCGCCTTGAAAGAGCTTAAGTATTTGCTCTGACATTTCCACACCGGGGTCGGAGAGTTGGCACCGATCGGAGAGATTGCACCGGGGTGCGAAAACATAAAAGCAAGGAAAAGGCAAACCAAAAATATCGCACCGGTGCCAGATCTCCGCCGTTTATGGTAAACTAGCACAATTGTAATATGAGGCGGAGAGATGGCATCGGAACGAGGCATGAGATGTGTAGTTCATTGGGCATTGGACCTGTCTGAGATATCGCATCGGGGTGCCTGAATTGCATTTCCGCACCGGGGTCTGAGAACTGGTAACGGTCTGAGAGATCGCACCGGGGGTGCGAGAAAAAAAAGACAAAAAAAACATAAATATATGATCGCACACGGTGCATCTCTCCGCCTTCTACGGTAGGCGTCGTCGATAGGCCATACCCCCCTACCCTTTGCCTACCTCTTCGGGAGAAGATAATGACGAGTCGAAATCGGAGAGTAGTAAGTCAGGCATCGATAGTGAGTCACGCCCCGTTCTTGTGTTTGGGTGTTCGTGAAATTCAGAAGTACCCAAAGATCAAAGCGAGAGGGTCCTCCGTTGTCCGAAAAAATATCATATCGCCAAGATCGTACATAGACAAAACTGCTGCCCATCTCTGTCGACCAAGGCACCCTATTAGTTAGTAGTACTGCACCAAGTGCAGTGGCAATCTCTGGCTTTTTCACGTCGTCGTAAGCGAAAAGTCAACATGCTTGCGAAGCATTAAAGTGTGTCGCAGAAGCAACGGAAGGAAGATCCAGATAGCGTTTCTCACATCAACCTTCTCAGGTCTCTACGACTGACGTCCGTTTCCCTCACATGCCGCATCGTTGTATAACCACAAGCTACAAGCCATTCCATCAACGTAGTAATGAGAAATGCAATAGCAAAATCCACCAAGCTCACTCCTTACCCTTAGTGTAGCAACAGCTCCAATTCCCAAAGAATGATCATGACGAGCACACCAAAAATGAAAAAAAACAAGACACAAGATCATCAGTTTTCCCTCGCCTCACCCCTTCCTTCTACACGTCCTCGCCCCCCGGAGCCTCGCTCGCCGCTCCAGGCCCACGCTGCACTTCCGCTGGCACGGCACACCTTGTGGCCTCATCCTCCCTCAGCATCTGCTGCAGCAGCGTGGCACAATCCCGGTTTTAATCGGAGACGGAAGCAGCGTTGCTGCCCGAAAGAACGTACATGACTCGATGTGGCGGGTAGCCTAGCACGTTGACGATGGTATCGCGAAAAAGCTGCGCCTGAATCTGAGTCGTGTTGTCTTCCATGCTGCAGATTCGAAGCAGCCCAGACCACGGCGCCTGAGCGGCGACGTCCCAAAAGGCCACGAGGATGGGAAGCTGCTTGCTTCCTTTGGGAAGGATTGATCTCCCCCAATCATAAGGTACGGGGCTGCCAAAACGGCTTTGATGAGCTCGGTCTTGTCCGGATGCGAAGCATCGGGCCCGGGCGCGTCCGCCATCGTCCCAGTGAACTTGGTCTCCCCATCTAGCCCCACGCGTGCAGCCACCCGAATCGTGTCCCTGGCCAGGGACCCACTCGGGGCAAGGGGGGTGTCCGATTGAGCGCATTCTTCCGCGACCGAGCTAGAGTCAATCTTAGACTTGTGACTTCCACGATTTTCTTTCCGCTCCACTGCATGCCCCCCCGGCCCCCGTTCCTCCTCGCCCCCCGGCACGCCGTCGTCAGGCACATGTCGCGCACGCCGGTTACCCTCAGCCCCCTCTTCAACAACCGGCTGCAGCTCTGCCGATTGCCGCGCCTTGCAAAGGCTTTCGTCATCGGTGATTGTTTTTTCCACTTTCATTGGTAATGTCCTGATTTCTTCGGCCGTGGGCCTTTGGCCGATGGTCTGGAGAGGAAAAGACAGAGGCATGGTTTATATTAATGAGAGAGAAAATGGGGGTTGAAGCGAGAGAACGGAGGGTCCAAATATCGAAATAATGTATACCAAATCGCATTGTAGACTGTACCATGGCTGTTGATATTGCCGTCTATTCTCCCTTACACGGTACGTCGGCGAACAACGCAGACATTAAGCTTTGAGTGGGAGTAAATGAGAGAGAGAGCAAGAGAGCACAGAGACGAACCAAATATTCAGCTGGAAACATGCACGGCTTCTCTCGCCCTCTTCTTCAACCCCGGGTTGCTTCTCTTGATAGATATTCAAGTTGATTCCGTGATCTACATATGTTCACCATGGCCATGGCAGTGAATGCTGCTCGCCGCCCATTCCCCACTTCACGGCCATACCGCATCCCTTCTTACCGGCTTCCTTGCACTGTTAAAAAAGGCTGATGGCGAGCCCGTCGGTGGCGTCACCTTGGGCCGCAGACGGTGCTATTCCCGCCCGCCCAGTACCCCCAGCTCGGGTGAATCGTGCACCCTCCGGTGTGACCGAAGCGCTTGTTCGTCACGTCCATTATGGACGTAACGAACAAGCGCTGCGCTCACCCCGGAGGGGGCACAACTCGCACCGAGTTGGGGGTACTGGGCAGGCGGGAATAGCACCGTCTGCGGCAAACACCAAGGTGACGCCACCGACGGGGTCGTCGTAAAACGTTTCTCAACTGTGCAAAGGTTGTTGGTGAGACGGGGTGCGGTGAAGCGGTGAAGTGGGGGACGGGCGGCGAGCAGCCGACTCACTGCCACCACCATGATGCATCCAGGGCCGGAGAAGCTCTCGTCCGCATCCCGAGCGGTCGGAGAACTTCATGTTCTTCGCCACCCGCATCGGGCGCAGCCTCGGGGAGACGCGATGCCACTGGGGGCGCAGGGAGCGGGAGTCGCACCGGCGGTGTAGTCGAAAGCGTCCGCACTCCGGAGCCCCGCCACCGGGTTGTGACAGACGATGGTTAGTGGCGATGGCGACGGTGGTAACTCCTTCGGTGACGTGCGCGGAGAGGAGGATGACCACGCGGATGGGGAGGAAATCGAGATGCTGTCATTTGTTCCTAAACGCGAGATCGGAGCTTCGCTTTAGATGCGTCTACGGTAGTCGCCTGTTTCTCTCCCTCTCGTCGCCCCTTCTCCTCCATACCACCCTTGGAGTAGGCAGGGCGGTAACTTCAGGAACGTCTACCGCCGCCGCGACTTCGTGTTTCTTCTCCTACTCTTCTTTTCGATACAGCCAGCGTGGTATGATCGATGGCCTCCTTGTGTTCTGAAGGTGACGAACCGACGGTCTACTGGGGGCTTGAATATCCCAGCTTTGAAGGCAAGACGGGGATGCCACGCTGCTTCCTTTGCTTGACAAGGTGGATGTGTCTTGGTGCTCGATGGAAGTAGGATGGTGAAGTTATTGATTCCCCCCCGTCCCCGATCTTGTAATAGGCTGGTGTACTGAGCTTTGTCGAGCAAAGCGACACATTTATCGTTTTGGGATTCTCGGCAGCAGCTTTCGCGAGGATATTAAGCTTGGTTTCAGTAAGGTTTACTGGTTTGGGTTAGGCTTACAAAACTCCCCTCTATGTTTCACAGAACACCTCCGGAACGCGGTCCGATGCTTGAGGGCCCGGGGGGCAATCTGGGCGATCAAGGATGTCGGGGACCATGAACCTCAACAGTGTTGTGGCAAGATTCACATCAAAAGACGACGAGGGTGTGAAGGCTATGTGCGTGGGGATTTGTTCTTGGCCCTTGCTTCTTGTTGTACTACTCGATAAAAATAGTGTAGGCCAAACCTTGCTTGGTTTTGAAGGGGGCGCTTTCTTATTCCCAAAACCAATTGTCTCGACCGAGTTCGACAGAGTCTGGGTACTTGTACGTGAAAGAGTTAGATTGATATGTGTGGTGCCTCTCGTTGGGTGCTCGTTAGGTACCGGTACAGTCCTGGAAGGCTGGAAGGAGCTGAGAAGGAGCGAAAACGACCACGTCCAATAGCTTGCGCACAGCAACACCGCACTTCGATGCCGACGGCAAGGGCAGAACGACGCACCCACATTCTTGGGTTGGCTTGTAAGGGTCTTGGTTAAGACTTGCAAGGCAGCAGAACCAAAGACAACCATATCTTGTTCTTGTAGAAAGCCCTTACGATGTGAAGAAAGGCTGACTGTGTGATTCTGAAGCCCCCAACGGGCTCAGGTTCTCTCAGCGAAATTCCCAGACCTAGGCATTAGATCACGAAATTCGCAGGGGCAAGGCAACAGCACGGCAGTTGAGTTTCCTGTTAGCTGACGCCATGTATCCAACTCACAACCCAGGGCCTCCCGCACGACAGGTGCATTGTCAACATTTGTTTCGGAAAAAACATTGTCGCAACAACGAATTAAATACTCGCACGAGGCCCCACGGTGAGGTAAATAAGCTGGGGGAAGGGGTGGGTGAAGAGGGTTGGGGGGATGACGGCGTGCCTCGTTGCTGCTGTTTCTCTTCCGTTAGCGTCTCCGGAAGCACCCCTCATCCCACTTCATACCCTGCACCATACGTTACTCGGTACTGCACCGAATCCCGGACGGAAGCCCTGTGGCATTATTGTCGTTGTTCGAAAGGCGGTTTCCGGAGGCACACGCCCGAATAGCCGATATCTGTTCAGTTTTAGGTGGGTCTAGGGTGGTGGTGTGAGGTGTTGGAAGGGAAGGATTGAAGCCCTTGCAGACAATACTAAATGCTCAACCTCTTTGGGTTTGTGACCCAGCCCGAAAGATAACCCAGGAGTCAAAGCAAACCGCACAGACCAGTTCCGAAGCATTGAGCACGAAAAACAAGTCCGGCTCTGCCCTGCTGTACCTCAGTCAACCTGTTTCACTGCTGTAGAACCAGTGCTAAAACGGCGTTGCTGAAGAGGGGGGTTGTCTCAAGTTGGTAGTCTCCTTCAAAATCCTCCCGACAAAGTACGACAGGGTTTGCTGAAATACGCATTAACTTCATCCCTAGATTCTAACTCCACGTAAGCTCCGCCCCTACATAGTCGACTCAATGGTGGGCTACAAGAATACGTCGTACACCAATAGCGTGTTTCGAATCTACCGTACATCGCCGTAAACGAACGGTTCTGTACTGCTGGTGCTGTGACCACGCCAATACAGATCCAACACAACTGGCCCTTTTGCTGCTAAATGCCGACAATTTCACGTTCATTCACAACAACGCTTTGCACCTGTTGGCTCAAGAGGTATCACATCAGTGCAGAGGTAACGCACATACCTGTACAGCAGCAGTAGATTCGCCAGCCACGTGTGCATAGAACGGTCCGTCGTTGGTGCCATGGGACACGAAGCTCAGCTCCTCCGCAACACCAAACAGCACTGTGACATCGAAGGACGAAGCTCTCAGCAATATCCGCCCCAAGTCGGCAAAAGCGAACGAATCTTCGACAGCGTGCCAACGCCGTTTTATGTTCCTGCACGTGATGCGATGCAACAGCAGCCAGCCTGTTCGATGAGAAACAACAACCAATACAGGAGCGTAAGAGAACAAAGACACAAAACAACTGATGGACCAATGCTGATGCCAAGTGGTACAAAGGTCGAGCCTCGGTAGAAGAGGCTGCCATTTGTAGCCAGCGTGACAACGGGAAGCGGATGTTCAAAAGACACCCGCACGGATGTTGAATATGTACGGTACAACCGGAGCAGGTGATCCAGTTCTCCACAGCAGCACACAGCAGTTTACAGCAGCAGTACAGGAAAAGAGCACAAAGCACAGCAGTAGTATAATAGCAGAGAGCCGGGAAACCCAAGCGGAAACGGGTTACTGGAGACAAACAGGGCATGTCCGTCTCCCTCCCTCTCTGCCCACTTACCTGGTAGTCGTCCTTGTGCTCCAGGGTATGTGCCAGCTGCTCCATCATCAGTTGTTGAACGCGTACTCGTTCATCGATGCGTACATCCATCCTCGAGAGTGTCGCCGCCTACAGATGTCCGCGAGGAAGCACGGAAGTGTGTGCTCTTCCCCATATAGGTGCCGCGGCTCGAAAAGAGCCTGCTGCGTCTTGGGAACAAGACCATCAACGAGCGTCGATATGACCACCCCTGTGCTCAGCCCTGTGCTGTCGCGGTGAGGTAGCTGCTGCGTGCACCTCGTCTGGAGCATCTCCTCTCGATCGAGAAAAAGCGCTGATACAGGAGTCACACCACGTTTTCTGCTGTCCACCATGACCCAGACAGTATCCAAGTTAGCTCTGCTGTTGCCCAGCCCTTGTGGTACGGCCTGTGGCGCCCTTGCCTGGGGCTGTGGACTGATGCTCCACAACTTTGGAAAGCTTCCAACTATTTGGAACCAACTCGTTCCAAATTTTCGGGCCCAGGTCCGTTCCAAAGTTTTGGAAGAAATTTGGAGGAACGCCTCCGTACAAGTTTCAAAGATTTGGAACTTTGGAACTTTGGAACCAAAATTTGGAATGATTAAAATGACCCTTAGAACATAGGCAGTGTAGCGCTGCTGTTCCGTGGTGCTGTCCCATAGGGTACTTACTTCTGTTAATTGATTTGGCTCATGGCTGCTGTTTTTCTTTGTCGTGTTTTGGTTGAATGGACAATGTTCAAGTTGGCCGATCCAATGGAAATACCTACGATGTATTCACTTCCTTCATACCTCCACATGTGGTGCGTGATCTTAACCTGCCCATAAAGCAGACCTAACATGGCAATACTGGCGAGCCTTGGTTATACCCTTTGATAGTAGTCTGACTCTTTAGGACAAACCGATGTTGAACGTAGCAAGGCTAGGTTGCTAGGTTCTTCACGAGACGAGAGAGGGCGCTGCGGCCGCCAGAACCAACGCCGAACAACGCCCGACCGATCAGAATGTGTTAGTCCTAAAGATCTACTATCAAAACACTACTACTCGTACTGGCCTGGTTGCAGGGGTGAAAGTTGCCCCGGAATCACTGGCACTCAACTATAACCTAGGTTGCGAGTCATCGCACCCCTGTGCGATGACTCCGGGCCGTGCGGAGACCCCGGACAGGTCTCCTTTTACGGTGAACGGAAGATTGGGGGTGGTGCATTCGCGGGATATGGAGGCAACGGTCTTGTGTACTTGTTGCTCGGAGGAGAGCGTCTGAAGAAGGACGGCCAACGACGGTGTTGTATTGCACAGGTCAACACCTCGCCCCAACCCTATACCATTTTCGGCGCCGTCACACGGGTGTAGTCTATTTTGTGCTGTTGGTAAATGGTGAGACGGCAGTCGTCAGTACAGGCATTTTTTCCAGGCCTCTAGATATATGCATACATCTTGTAGTGTAGCCAAAACAATGAAACAAAAAACGCATAGCTACCCGTTCGGTCTCACCTCGTGCCGTGTAAAATGGTCGCGTGCGTAGCTACCCTTGCTGTGTTGTCAACGCAGAGTGCAAAAGTGTGCAGCAGGAGCAAGAGGCAAAAGAGTCAATGTGGGGGGTCTGCGGTATGCGTCATTATTGAGGTAAAGCAGCTATATACGTCGGGCATAATGATGAATCCTGTCCGTGCAGCCCCCGCCCGTGTTTGTGTTGTGTGTGAGGAGGTTTTTGGCGCAAAGCCGCTGTGTTCATAACATCTACAAGAACCAGACAAAGAGAGCGAGAGAGCGACGGAACGGGATGGCGCAGCTATGTTCAAGTCGGCAGCAGGTGGGAGCTCACGTTATCCTCTTGAGCTACTGTTGGGCACGGCAACGTGTGTTGGTAATTGATCACATGGGCAGACGGGTCATCGCTACACAGCGCGTCACCATGAGAGAAAACGGTCTGTTTGATGGTACACAGCCTGCGGATGAGGACCGACACACGGGGGTTGGGTGGGCGAGCAGCCAGGCAATCCACCATGCAAACCAAGCAAGGAAGGGAGCGGACGGTGCGCGGACTCGCCGTATTGCTCAATGGGGAAACGTGGGGATATCTTTTGGCGGGTTCCTTCCCCCCATTCAGCCCTGGCTGTCAGAAAATTTACAGCGAACGTTTTGTGCCTGTTGGTTTTGAATCGACCACCAAGCAAGAGCGGTGAGGGAGGGACGCAGGGGCGGACGCCCACATCATTGCTCTACTACGAGTGTTCTATGCATGCATACATTGCGTGCGTAGGCTATATGTAGATATTCCGTCCTCTCTCTTGGTGAACGAACGAGCATTTTACGCGGCGACATGCATCCCCCCCCCCCCTCCTTGCTGCAAAGGTATGGACACAGCATACAATATCTGGGAGAAAACATGATTGCACAATCATGTCATGTGTGGTACAGCAGCAGCAGTGTACTGCTATACTGTAGTGCTGCTGTACAGATAGTGGGCCCTCAAAACCTCTAGTATCTGCCAGGCTAATCGACCGACGCTCTTCAAAGCACAGAAATGAACTTGGTGATTCAGTACCCTGTGCCCAACAATTCAACAAATCAACCGGCGCGATGCAGGACCACCGGCGTTTGTTCAACAGCAGGTGGTGTCGACGGCCCACTAGACGGCACTATGTAGACTACTGCTGTAGTGCTGTATGTATCGGCGTTTGGTCTTTGGTTTGTTGGAGTCCCCTTTGAGGAGCGTGTATGCTCTATGGAACATGTCACGGTCTGCGGCCCACGTCCAAGCCGATGAGAGGTCCTATAACTTGCTGCTGTGGAGAAATCGAGCCTGGAAAATCGGCCCGGAGGGTCTGATGTCTTCTGTCACCTACGGTATGGCACGTGTTTGCAGCTATTTAGCATTGGTATGCATGCAGTAGAAGTCCCTGTTTCGTGCCGGTACAGTATGTGCCCAGAAAATTCACGGGAGCGATATATACCGGACCGTCATTACGAGGTATTCAGAATGACTTGGGAATTCAGTGTGTGCCCGCCGAAAACACCGGCACTAAATATACCGAAACACCGGCACTACACCGAAAACACCGGCACTACACCGAAAACACCGGCACTAATACCGAAAACACCGGCACTACACCGAAAACACCGGCACTACACCGAAAACACCGGCACTGGTCAACCGGCATTTAACAGAGACTTCTACTGTACATCTAGGCCGTCCAGGGAATATCCCCAAGAGGGTGTGTCACCACCAGCAGAACAGAACAGCAGTCAGATACCACTGCTGTAGGTGAACCCTGCCTCAATCTGGGCTTGGTGAGGCACGCGTGTTTGCCGACCGAAGTGCTATCTAGTGGAATGTGGATCGTCCATGAACACCCTGTCGATTCGTGAATGTCTGCATACGGTTTCGTAAAAAGCTTGCATTTTCTTGGTCATTGGTTTTCGACGAAGCCGGGATATTGTGTGATGCTGCTGAAGCAAGATCGCTGATGCATACTCTCTGCTGTTGAATTCTCTTGTGCACTGGAGTACGCCCTAATCGAATGGTTAACATCGCCGCCGACGCTGCTGCTGCTGCTGCTGCTGCGGCTGCGGCTGGCTGCTGCTCATCTGCCTGATATTCGCCGTCTACAACACATTGCTGTTGGGTATCGTGTTCGTTCGTTTGTTCTTTCCGTCCTTCCTTCCCTCTTTGCCTTCTTTTTTTTTTGTCAGCCACTCTTGGATGCCGCAGATCCAGCTGTCGACTCTTTCTCCGTTTCTTCCTTCTTTGCCTTTTTTTTTTTTGTTCTGTCAGGTCGCCATCTTAGATTTGGGTTCGCGGACCACCCCCCTCATGGGGAGAGGGGTTGGGGGGCTAAAGTTTTTTTGGGAGGGGAACGGCGGCCTGGTTTCCCGGGGGGGGGGGGTGGAAGAACCCCCCCCCCCCCTCGCGGGCCGGCATACCGACTGTGGTCCCCCCCCCTCCCACCATTTCTCCGCACATTTATCTATCCATGTCTTGCCGCGGACGTGATGTGGTGGTTTTGTTGGGTAATTGCTCAGAAGCCCGACCCCCCCC